ACAATAATCTTGCCTGTTGTTTTGTATGGGTGCGAAACATGGTCTCTCACTCAGAGGGAGGAACACAGATTGCAGGTGTTTGAGAACAGGGTGTTGAGGAGGATATTTGGGCCTAGGAGAGAAGACGATGGGACATGGAGAAAACTGCATAATGATGAGCTTAAAAATCTGTACCCCTCCCCCAATATTGTCAGGGTTATTAAGCCTAGATGAATGAGATGGGCGGGTCATGTAGCGCGCGTGGATGGGACAAGAGGTATTGGTTGGGAGGCCTGAAGGGAAGAGACCGCTGGGGAGACCTAGACGTAGATGGGAGGATCTATGTTAGAGAGGTGTTGAAGGAGACTGGATTTTGTTGGCCCAGGACGGGGTCCGGTGGAGGGCTTTGGTTAATTCGGTGATGAACCTTCGGGTTCGGCGAGCCATCTAGTTAGTTAGTAAAGATTAACTGGTTAACGCTGTTTACTCTGACAATCACGCAAAACACACTCTGTGGTCAAAATGCAGCTATAGATTGTTAAATTATGTGGTACATATGGTTACCAACGTGTTAGAAAGGGTTAATTTTTTATGATTGTTGCAATACTGAGACAATTATTTGGATTATATCGGAAAAAGTAATTTTATTATTAAGTGTAATTTTCTTTTATCATAAGCAATTATTTTTTTATATTGCGTATTTCATTTGATTTGTTTAGATAACAGTTACTAGGTCTGTTCATACCTTGTTGTTAGCTGTGGAAGAGTTTTATTCCTTCGTCCTTAAATTATTTTTAATTCATGTTAGAAATAAAATCTGCAATAAGAAAGTTCATAATTGGCATAAATCTGAAATGTTGTTCAGTTTTATGTTGTAAGATGTTCAAAACATTGAGAATATATAAGCAATGGAACAAATATACATCAGAATTTTTGGGTTCGCTTACTAATAATCATTGTAACGACCGACATTTGAGGCATAGAGACCTGGATTTTTATAGGTACTATTACCAGGTTCCTGATAAAAACAAGAATCCAGTGATGATTTATTATTACGTGCTATTCAGGAATTTAATATTAAGATTTGTGTATTATTTTGTTGCATTAATATTAAACAGACACACATTACAGTTTTATTTTGTTACGTATCTTAATAAACAACCCTTGCGTGTGATAAATTTCTGCTTACGAAGGTTCTGTAAGATCCAATAAGGTTGACTTACAGGATTATTATATTTCCGATATGCACTGGGGACACGTGATCGATCGAGCAGTTCAACACTCATGAGAATATTGGTTCGTGTGCTTCAGTGCACATATAATAAAGCACAATCATATTTTTTAGACCTGGCGGTTGTCAAATGAGTACGCCGTGGAGTAAGAATTATAACGGAGAGAACTTTTTAATTATAAGGCTTTACGTCACTTAATTTTTCGGACACTATAGCAGTTACCAACTCCCATTTTTCCTTCCACAATTTCCTCTCACGCGCATTCCATCGGCCACGACTAGAAAATTGGACAATACGTGTCCTGTAGATGATAAATATGATTTTAACGGGGGTGAAATCTCAGTACTACTTAATGCAGTATTTTACACGTTTCTCTTAAGCCAGTTAATTCATAGTTCAACTGTCAGCTTTTCCCCTGAAGATGGAGTGAGATCCTCTGTAAGAACAGGATCTCGAAATTGTTATTCAGCTTGCAATCAATAGAATTTTGTGAATGTTGGTGAGGGGAAGGGGAGGAGGAAATGATGCGATCGAATAGTAGTCGCCTTTTTTACCAACTGAGCTGACGTCCCGTACAAGAAGATGTCAGCACAGTACCTGCATGTCCGTAACCTCAGATTGACCATTAAATTGTGAAAGGCTGTGACCTTTGGTAATCACGGTGTTTCTCTGTGGTGTGGTGATCATTGGTGGGAAACACAATGTACATGAAACATGGCGTCGAGTGATATTGGCTTAGTACCAAATGTATTAAGTAGTGATGAATGCTCAAAAATACCGGAAGATATTCGGAAAAAAATAGAGTCATGTGTTAAAATTAAAACTGAAGAAAGTATCGTTGCTAGAGCATTGTTGGAAACCACGAAAGTAAACTTGGGTAAGAACTTGTTTGAGGGAGTAATTGTCTCTTTTGGAGAAATCTTGTTATCACAGTTATGGGAGATGTGATTAAAATTACATATTGTAGAATAGAATTTTTTACATTCCATAGAGCCTTTATAGGCCTAAACCAAGGATGAAGCACATCATAGCACAAATACAATATTTGTTTCTAACACAAATATAAATTACATAGTTATGATAGTAATTTACAGTCTACTACAGTATTACTGCAAAAATAAGAACACAAGAAATCATACACACTATTGCTTACATGTATTTGTAATAGGTGAGAATTTTTGATTGAGGTAAACACATCTATGGCAAAGAAGGAGTAAGATACGAGGTACTGTTTTAGTGCTGGTTTAAACTTCTATACAGTGTGATTTGTACATTCTATAATGGGAGAAGATTACTGAATAGCTTAATTCCACTATTGTAAGCTTTTTGATATTTACAGAGTTTAGTGTTTTGCATATCGAAGGTTTTATTTGGGATCTTTTCCCAGGGGTAAGCACAGCTGAGGCATGACATTTACCACTTACCCCATCTGGAGATTAAGAATGATTATGAGCTATACCTCCTCTCCCCTAAAGCACCTACAGGACGTAGCAGGATAGCTTTACTTCTTTTTAGGGTCAGTGTCATTCGGCAAAAAGTGGAACGAAAAAGTGTAACTGCATTGTTATGTTACCTAGGAAACTTCAATTGTTTACTCGGCATTATTGTTACCTAGGAAACATTTCATTACATTACCTTACATTACATTTCATTACATTACTTTACATTACAGTCAGCTACCACAGACCCATTTTAAGCGTAACTAATTGAAGTTGAATAATCAATGTCTTAATCAAACTTTACTGAATTGTAAAGCATGTATAAAGGAAATATTTAGAATAAAGCCAATATATAAACTTCCTTTCCGTATAGACGTATTTACATCAAATTCTCCGGAACCTTGGTTCCACTGACAACTTTTTTTTTTGTCCAGTACAATTGATATTAATGAGAGCAAGAATTTGCTGGCTATTGTACCATAATGTACGCTTCCCTTTGTACAGGTCTAAATACTGATTAACTGTGATGTTCTAGTGTTTATGTACATGAAGCAATGCTACCTTCTGAATTTGTCTTTCTGTACCAAGTAGGGTAGGTATTGGGGTAATGCAATAGTCACGATTTGATATGAATATTAAGAATGTTTAACCAGTGTTTCCTTTCTTTTTCTTAAATTCTCAGAGGCAAGAATTATTACTGTTGAGAAAGAGCTTAGTGCAGTGAAGGAAGACAATGGCACCAAGACAGTCAAACTTGATTCGACTGAAAAGGAGGTGGAAGAGTTGCAGAAGAAAACAGAATCATCCCAAGCTGAAATTACAAAACTACAAAGTTCAGTGCATAGGTAAGAGGATATTTTTATGGATTTGTGTTGAATAACAACACTTGTTTACATTTGTTGTATAAATGTTATGTAGTATTGCTTGTCAGTTATAAAGAGTGTAAATGGGAATTTGTGCTGTATTCTCAAATTTTTTGACGCTGGACTGAAATACTGCTGGATTTACATCTTCAGGAATACCAATTAAAGGTAAAGTATTACAATTGCAATGAAGACCTAAAGAAAACACAAAAATATTGAACTTTCACAGTTTGAATAGAGAATGGAAGTAGAAGGGAAGGTGCACAATTTTTGTTGCTGATACTATTTTGGAATTTATTTTTATATAGTTTAGTACAGGTAGAGATTCTTGAGCACATTGTTGATTTTGTAAATATATTTAATATGACTTGAAGTTGAACTTTAAATAATATAATAGAGGATATAATTGTTGAGCTTATGGTTATGAAAGCTCCATTATTTATTTTTTTAATGTCTTTAGTAGATATTTATGTGATTATTGCTCTTCTAGCGATGATCAGGGAGAAGGTTAAGATGTACAAAACCATGGCCTGTATCTTTTTTATGATTATCATCCATAAAATATCTTGAGGTGTTTTATTTTGTGAACATTACCACAGAATTTGATGCAACTGTCTTGAAAGTAGCAGTCATTTGAACTGCTGTATCTAATTGGAAATTGTTATTACAATTAACATTTAATAAACCTCATGTTTTCTCTTATATCATCCATTGTATGTATCACTATGTCCACTCAGACATATTGTTTTGTTGCAATTAATAGGCTAGAACAGGAAAGCATTGATTTTCGTCGACAACGTGACAGTGCAATTGATGAACGTGACAGCCTTCAGAAGATGGTTGACAGGCGAAATACAGAACTACAACGTATGCAAGAGGATGTCAAAATGCTGAATACTCAGCTTAAAGATGCCATTAATACCAAATGCGAAGCTATTGCCAAATATGAAGGAGTCCAAAGTCAACAGGTTACACTTGATTACAAGTAAGACTACTTCTCTCTGTCAAACTTGGATGTGTTGCCATTCATGTGGCTGGTAGCTGGTAGCAGGGTTGTAAGCTGTTTTGTATGGACTGGGAGTATTCAAAATATTCTGTTCCTCTTCAGTAATAGCAGAGTGACAGATGAATATGACTTTCAGAATGGGCTACAGGAACATTGATTTTAAACTTGTGGGGCTTGGTTTTCCCACAACATAAAGTGTTTGACATTTGTTTATCTTGCATTATAATACTGTGTCTTTAAAAGCAATGAAGTATGTTTGAAGATGTAAAATTAAGTACCAAATGAAACTGGAATGTCACAATAGTATTTTATTTGAACTGTGTATATACACATCTTTTGAATACTTGAAAATTCATATACAGAATTACATATGTGTATAAATGTATATTTTTGTTTAATGTAATTGATGGAAATGAGAATAGTTGAAAGTCACTTACTAGTATTACTCTCATCAGCCAGAATCTATGTTTCACTGATTTCACTTTTTTTAATTGCCTGTCAATAAGAAAATATATTTATATATATATATATATTTTTTCTTTTGCAGAATTGATCAGTGAAGTTTCTCAAAATTTCAGTCTACAGATTAGTACCAATTATTAAAATTACTTTTTTAAAAGGAAATATGTAAATAACAGTAATGGTACACTGGAACTATGGTAGTGTTATCTTTGCAGGACAAATATTGTATAAAGAAGGAAAACTTGCAATTAAAGTTGTGCACATTTTGTAGAATCGATGTAGGTTTTTGAAAATAGGGACCAACCAAGATAGCTCATTCATTAAAATGACTGGGTAAAGGCTTTATGACTGAGGTTTGATTCTCGCAGGGGCAGGGTTTTGGGAATATTTTATGAATTTGGTATTTAATTTTACTAATTGTTTTGTGCATCTGTTTTATCAAAGGGAGAAACACTTAAATCAAGAACATGACCAACTCAGGAAACAGATTCAGAACCTTACAGAAGATTTGAACAAGCATTCAGCTGAGCTCATGACTATGAGGAGAGAACACACAAATAGGCTTCTTGCATTGCAGACTCAACTCTCACAGAGTACTGAGGAGGTAAACATTGACCAGTGATCTCATATCTGTTTTTCTTTTACCAGATGGTGTGCTAGATTGGTTTTTAGGAAGACTGAATGGTCAGGCTGTTATAGAGTAAAGGAAGTGTATCATCTGCCATTTCTTTCTCGCACATGATGAGCAGTAATGTTAACTTCCTTTTGTTTACTCCTGATTATAGACTTTGGAAAGGGTGAAATATGATAAGGCGCATGAACTTAGGTTTTGCTGTAACAAAACATAAGATAATTAAGAGAAACAGAAATACATTTCATGATAACACTGTTCACATATACACATGGCTGGTTTAATTTCAGTTATGGAATTGAAGTGTCATGTGCAGTTTCAGTATAAGAGCCTGGGATACTTTCGTCTAAACATTAAGTTTGCACCTAGTATTGAAAGTATTGTCCATTGGTTCAGTGTGTTGCAATGCAGCTAGGCTTAAAAAAACAATTTTTAAATGCAAAAAAATTAGGAAATCCTATGAGGTTATATATATATAATGAAGCCAAGAAATGCAGAATGTTTATTTCAGTTTGTAGTACTTATATAGCAGATATGTAGTCTGTTTCAGCAGCTGTTTAATGAAGCAGTATATAGGTGTCAACTTGATTAGTGTCTCATTTGATATAAATCCATTTATCAGATATCTTTTGAATGAACAAATAGTTTATGTGTTAGAAGCCATTATGAGATTTGTATGACTGGAAGAAAAAATACTGTAACTGGGAAAATTTACTAATAACAATTTTTATGCTATGTACCGTTAGTACCTTGAAGATTGACGGATTTATGTGAAGATGTGTGTTTATTACAAATGTATTTAGTTCTTCTGTACTGCCTGATAACAACAAATACTGTTATTTAACTATGCTGATTTTGAGGAACAGTGCATATTAATTTAAGTTCCTGACCCTTTAGAATGCTTTTTAGATTTTGCAAGATTGCATGCACTCCGAACTTGAGGATCTGGAAATTTTTGTGTCATATTTTCTGTATATACTTACAAAAAAGAAATTGAAGGGTTGATAATTACCTCTCAAGTTGTTTAGCTTCCTAAGGTTTAGAAATTTTTTCATTTTATGTTAACCAAAGTTTGCATTTTATTCTTCTAGCTTCAGATTGCTAATCAGTCAAACGAAGATCTGAAATCTGCAAATGCTACTTTACTTGGGAAGTTGGAAACTGCAATGCAGAAATTGGTATCACAGCGAGAAAGTGAAAGCAAGTTGCATGACAGTTATGAGCAGGAACTTCTGGCACAGACTCGTCTGGCACAAATATACAAAGGTCAGTTCTGAAAAAACATTTTAGTTCACTCCCTTTTCCCATAAATTCTCATGTAATCAATTGCAGATATAGGCATTATTGTCGTGATGACCTTCATAGCATTGAACAAAATTACTGATATGTGAAATATGATTTTTCTAGCACACTAATTAATATAATGCTGCATGAAGTTGTACAATTGTTAATAATTCTCATTATTATGATATTACAGTTTCTAATTTATCCACAAACTAGTTTCCTGTGGAGTCTGTTTATCAGAATAATTTTCCTCCTTTTTTTTTTCTTGTACTTTTGAAACACAGAAGGGGAAATGGTAGTTCGTGTAATGTAGGAATTGTGATATTAAAGTATGTTTATGCTCTGGAAAGGATTCAGGGATGGGCTCGGAGTGATGGCAATGAAACTTTTGTTTCCATGACAAGAGGAGAGCTCTTGACCAGCAAAGTAAGTGTCTGTTTTTGAAAGAAGCATTTGCAGCAGAAAGAGTTATAGGTTAATTATGAAAAATATTTATACAGTGCAGTACAGCATTTTCTTTATTGTATCACTAGAATTTTGAACAGTAGAAGTGGAAAAGATACACAGGTCTTTCATTGCATTTGATTCTGATCATAAAAATAAATACTTTAGGTGATAAAACATAAGTGGAAACACCATAAGAACTGATCACAGCAAGTAACTGGCCTGTTACATAGGATTCAATCCATACATTGTTCCCATAATTATGTTTTTTCACACCGTAATTTTACTTTTATAAGTTGATACTCTATGTTGTGTTTTTCTCTGTGTGTAGGAATGAGTGATGATGCTTCATCCAAATCAGAGGAACTTTCAACTGCTGTTAAACAATTGCAAACCTTATTACAAGATGCTTCAAAACAGTATGGAGACCTTGAAACTGAAATGAAGAGGAAGGAAGTGTTACATGAAGAAGAACTGGCAAAGAAAGCAGAGTGCATTGCTCTTCTAAAGAAAGAACTGGAAAATGCAAATGAACTGTTGAAGGCTGCAAGGCAAGAAACATTAAATGTTACTATTGAGGGCTTATCACCATCAGCTGCAGCAGCTAGCCGTCTTATTAAGTCAGGCATGACATTGACACAAATTTATAGTCAGTATGTAGCAGTTTCTGAAGAGCTACTCTTACAGAAGGAAGAAACACGGAAATTAAACCTGTATATAAACACAATCATAGAAGAAATTGAGGAGAAAGCTCCAATTCTTAAGAAACAACATGAGGATTATGATCATGCTCTTGAAAATGTGGCCACACTTACCAGAGAGATTGATAAGTATATTACAGAATGTAATAAGTTGCGTCATGAAGCAGCTGAAGCGAAGAAAGCAGAGGCTCACTACAGCCGAGAAAATAAACGTCTCAAAGAGGAAGTGGTTGATTTGGCAAAGCAGGTGTGCTTCTTACTCAAAGAAGTTGAAGAAGCTCGAGGTGGTTTTGCTGCTGGACAGAGTCATATGGAAGAGTCTTGTTCAGACATTACTAGTTCTTCCCAGGTAATTTCGCAGACACTTGTAACATTTAGTAACATTGAGGAACTTCAGGCTAACAACCAAAAGCTGTTAATGCTGGTAAGGGAATTGAGCTCAAAACAAGAAGAAGCAGAGTGCTGTCAGTCTGAGTTTAATCCAGAAGAAATTCAAGCTAAAATAGAGCAATATGCAATGAAGGTAAAAGAATTGGAAGAGAATAATGAACAACATACAAAAATGATGGAGACGTTGCTTAGACAGCGGGACATGTATCGAACACTGTATGAACAGCAGATGCAGGGAGGTAGTAGTCCAATAAAGCTGCCAGAGCAATTGTCTCCAAAGCCTGCAATGGTTACACAAGGAACAGTTCTACAGGAAAAGGATAAAGTAATTCAAGAATTGAAAGCAAAACTAGAAGAGTCTCAGAAAGCTTTTAAGGAGCTTAAAGAAGAACTGGATACATATCGAACGGAACGTCAGACCAATGAACGGATTTTGACGGAAGAACTAGATACCATGAGATCTGAGCTCAGAGTACTTCGTACCCAGAATTCTAAACTTCTTTCTCAGGCTGAGTACAATGATGAAAGGTTTAAACTTCTCAATTCTAATACAGTTATTTACAAATCACAGATCACTGCATTGGAAGAGAAAAACAAAATGTACAGTTCAACTATAATCAAACATGAACAAACTATCATGCACCTCAAAGATGAAACATTGGATGCGCAGACCAAACTTTCGAAAGCCGAAGTGACTTTGGAGAATTTGAAGAGACAGTGTCAGATTTTGAAAGAGACAGAAGCTCGTCTGTTAAAAGATAGAGAAGTACTTAATCGTGAAAAGCAGAGTCAGTCCATATTATTAGCTAACTTGGAATCCATCCGTACGAGTTTAGAACGTTCTGAAACGGAAGGGAAGTTACGTTTGGAGGGACGACTTGATGAAGCTATGAGGGAGTGTGCTGCACTTAGGAGGAGATTACAGGAGGAACAAGATCGGTTCCGTGAACTGTCTTCCCATATTGAACGTCAGTTAGAAACTGCAAAGAAACGTGAAGAAGAAGAGACAAGACTGGGGGCTCGAACAAGAGAGGAACTGGACTTAGTCAGGGAAGAGCTAGTTAAAGAAAAGAAAGAAGTTGAATCTTTGACCAAGAAGATAAGAGAATTAGCAGCACCACCAACTCAAAAGACACCAACAGAAGTTGAGATTATGACAAAAAAGCTGAAGGAAATTGAAACTCAGTTGAACCGAAGTCAGAATGAGTTGAAGTCAACACAACAGCAACTAGCATCTTCAAAGCAACATGCTAAGCAATACTCTGAGATATCTGAAGCTACTGAGAAGCAACTGAAGGCAGTTACAGCAAAGTTTGATCAGTATAAGGAAATTACCGAGAAGAAACTAACAGAATTGAGGAATAGTGAAGAACAGTTGAAGAAGCGAGTTGCAGATTTAAATTCTCAGTTGTCAAAACTGACTGTTGGTACAAGTCATTCAACAGCAGAACTAAATGACCAGCTAGCCAAGAGCAAAAATGAGCTCACATCTGCACTTTCTGACCTTGAGGAAACCAGGAAGGACCTGATCAAAGCACAGTCTGATCTTGCATCACTTTCAGGAAATGCGCAAGCTGCTGAAGAGAAGTATGCACATGAGGTGAGTTTTCATTCTAATGTGCAATGGAACAGTTTTAAAGGGTATTAACGATTATATGTCATAGTTGGTATTTGTAGTTTGTCTTTTATTTCGCTATTGTCCTATATTCCACAAATAGATCACTATGTTTCAGAAGCAAGTGCAGCTCCCATAACAGTGATCTCTGAGTAGAATATATGTGACCTGAGGTAAAATGTGACAAGGGTCAGTAATTATTGTGGCTATATATCTTTAAGAACAAGCACCATATATTAAAACTGTTATGAAATAACTGAACTTTAAACTTCCTTGATAAAAAATTAAAATGACATTTCATAGCAGTTCTCATTTTCTGCCGGAGATATAGATTGTTTTTGGTGAAACCAGTTTTTACTGAGAAATTGTATCATGCAGGCATGAATGTTCGCTTGTTTCCAGTTAAATTAATTAGTATAGTGTGACATTAGCATTATATGAGGTCATATCTGAAGGTGACTTTGATAGTAGTGGCGTTGAACTTGCAGACGGTGTTACAAGAGATTTTCATTTCTTTACCTATTTAATTATTTAAAAATGTATATGCTAAGTTTCTTGATTTAAAATTGTGGATGACATTCGAGGATATATCTTTGAGAATGAGTGCAATACATGCATGTTTACTGATGTGTTTTCTGCATTAATTGGTTTTTTTAATTTTAATTAACTTTTTCATTTTGCAGGTGGTTCTTCATTCAACTGACATTCAGGCTTTGTCCTCCATGAAGGAAAAGCTTACAGCATTAAATTCTGAAGTGTCTGAACTTCGGCTTTCCAAAGAACAGGCTGAGAATGCTGTAAACGAGCTTCGTTCAGGTTGGGAAGAGAGAGAAGAACACCTTAAAAAAGAATTAAGTGATACACGTCAGCAAATAAATGATATGGATTCTCAGAATTCCCTGCTGCATGATCAGATTCAGGTATTGAGTTCACAACTTGCTATTCTTCAAGCAAGTGGTAATCAGTTAGAATCTTCAGTTGGAAATGTATCTAGTGGTTCATTAAATACATCCATATCAGAAGAAGAAATTAAATCGTCTGAACAGTTACTTCAGATTATCAAGTACCTTCGTCGGGAGAAGGATATTGCTCTTTCCAAATATGAGGTCCTACGTACTGAGAATCTTCGTCTGAAATCACAGCAGGAGTATCTTGATAAGCAGTTAAAAGAAGCAAAGGAATCATTATTGGTAGAGCAGGAAAGAATGGAAGCATCTTCAGTAACAGCTGTCAAACATTCAGAACTGTTAAGGAAGCTTGAGACTTTGAATGCAATAACAGACAGTAATCGTATATTGCGTGAAGAACGAGATGGTCTCCAAGCCAGAGTTAATGAATTACTAAAGCAGGTGGAGAAGTTGGAAAAGGAATTAGGCCCATTGCAGGAATCTAACACTGATCTGTCATCTCGTGTTGAATCTATGACTGCTGAGAATGTTGCACTTCGTGGAGAAGCTGGAAGGTATGTGTAATGCTTGGGAAACTTGAGTGTTGGCTTTTGTATAAAGTATAAGATTGAATCTTTCATTGAGCTATGTTCTGTGTAGGTTGAGGCAGAGAGTGAACTTCCTGATTGAGCGATCAAGCAAGACAAGTCCTGAGGATTGGAGGCGGTTGCAGCAGGAGAGAGAAGGACTTACAAGGCAGTTAAGTGGAGAGAAGGAAGCTCACCAGAAAACTCAGGAAGAAAATAGAGGGCTCAGGCAAGAGAAGTTCCGGCTGGAGGAACAGGTTAGGAATTATTTCAGACATTTACATTGAGCAGGAATCATTTTTACAATTTGGCATGCACATATAATGATATCCTTATCAGCTGCATCATCATCCAGCTCTATTCAGATAGGTTTGTTAGGTATTCTATAATGGAGTTTCCGTATACAGGTAACTCTCGGTTTACGAACGAGTTCCGTTCCAAGACATTTGTTATACGTTTTTGTTCGTTATGTGTATCTTGCATTTCTGAGCTTTTACGATATGTATCATTTATGTTAGTAGCCATTTTAAAGCATTAAAACCATGTACTAAACATAGCAAGCAAGTGATGATCCTGTTATATTATAATAGGGGGAATCACCGATTTCTTTCCCACGAGAAAACATTCTACGCGGCATGACATGTAAACCAATGTTTTTTTACTGGCTACATTAGTTTTGTAAGACTTGAGGTTCTCACAGCGGTGAGTATGAAGATTTCTGTCTTCTGGGTTGTTGCGCTGTGTAGTCTGGTCGATGTTAACCAACGTTTCAGAGGTCATACTGCCTCCGTCATCAGGGCGATGAATATGCCAATAGGGTGTGAGGAGTTGGATTTTATAGGCAGGGAAGTGAAAGGTGTAGCCTGCCCCGAGCCAATGGGAGCAGGTATGGGAGTGGACCAATGGTAGCACGTGGGCGAGAGTGGGAGAGGGAGAGAAAGTAGAGAGAGAAAGGTGAGTTTAGTTGTATGGATAAGGGCCCTGAAAGGGGGCCGAGTTAGTGGTCTGGTTGGTTCTGGCGGCGCACTCTTGCTCGTTAGTTTTATTAACCACTAACAGTTCAGTATAATTATCATATAATAATTTTCTGATAATTGTAATAAATACATTTTTTAAAAGTTTATTTATTTAAATCTTACAATTATGTTTACTATACATTTGGCATTTTGTTTTATAAGGAACTATAGCTATTGGTGACTTTAAGAAATTTTGAATGAATTGTGATGATTGTTATAGTGAACGTTCGTAAACTGAGAATTGCCTGTATTATATTTCAATGTTTAAACTGAATGCTGATGTGCTGGTATTTAATATTTGGTGGCAGTTTATATTACTTTGTTGATTAATGAATCCATAATTAGTTCTCAGATAAATTTAATTTATATTTATGAATTATTATCTTATGGTGGGTTGTCGCTGTGTTAATGTAGTTATCATAAAATTATATTTTTGAAGAAGTTGTCATTATTTAAAACAATAAGTGGTGTTAAGAGTTCCAGTATTAAGTATGTAGTCAACATACAAAACTCCTGAATATGTGTTCAAGAGGATAGATATTTGTTTCCTGTTTTAGTTGCATGTTTTACGCATTCTTTTCTCTTCTTTATTTCTTCTGTTAGTTAAGTGCCCTTCAGCGACTACAACAACAGCAAGCAGAAGATCTGCGTAAACGTATTGATGAAGTGAACACACTCAACCAAACT